ACAATTATAGCAATAATTAAAGCTTCTGCCTATCACAACAAATCATGAAGTGTGTAGCACAAAAAAACTCGTGAAAAGCAAATTTTTATTCAAAATTCAATCACATTTTTTTTTTGCAAAATGCCGAAAAATAGACATCTGATTTCAAGAAATTTTCATTTCCTCATACAAATTCTATTCTTTTTTCAATTATTTCTGCTCATTCTATTCTTTTCAACGCTTTCGTATTGCACTATATTACCTTTTTACTAGTTTTTATCTTAAAAGTTACATTAATTTCATTGCATATTTGACTGTTCTAATTATATCACTACTAACAAAATATCTCATAAATTTATTACTTTTTATTTTTGTTACCTTATTTAGATCTAATTTTGTAACACTAATATTGTAACATACACTAATACATCCCCTTATCTATTTTTATAAGTATTAAAGAAAAATTATGCACTTTAAGAGAGGAAAAAACTTAGAAGTTTTTTACTGGCAATGTTACCGATGGCTCTCTTCCTTGAGGGATGCTTACAAGCAAGCTATCGGTTGTTTTGACTCTCTGGCTTGCGCCACTACGAATTTACCATCAAAATGAACGAATGAGTCGTACGGAGAATTTATTCGAAACCATAAAGCACTATGCTCAACAGCAAAAAAAAAACGCTTATACAAATTAAGTATACTTATTTCACTTAAAAAACATAAGCGGAGTAATTTTGAAAGACATTTTCTAACTTTTTAAGCCTAGCCAGTCAAATTTAACAAACAACGCAATTTCCCAAATTTTTTACATGGTTTTCAAATAGAAAATAAACAAAAAAAGAGAGCGAGGGACGCAAGTTCAAAAGTAAAAGCAGGTATCACTCTCTTTTTAAGTAACAGCCAAGCAGTGAGCGAAGACAATAACCGTAATAAAAGGCACAAAACAGTTTTGAAATTCTAAATTTCAAATTTTACGCTATTTTTGGAAAAGCCTGAGCTTATTTCTTCATATTGTGATATGACCATGTGGTAAGGCATGCAGAAAGATAAGCACTAGTGATCGGTGCTCGGAGCATTCCGAATGTACGGTCGAATGGTATCCATTGCAAGTGATAGCTCTGAAAAAATGGCACAGTAAAAAAAGTTAATCATTTTGAGCAACGAACTCAATTACTGAAAACACAGAAGTGGGTGCAAAATTCCATTAACTGGTGAAGAAAACGGTAAACCGGAACAAACTGCATAAAAGGGATAAAATCGAAAACCGTAAAGGATCACAGCAACGATAAAAAAATAATATGCAAAAAAAGAATTCTAATTTTCCTAAAAAATCGTCTTTTATTTTTTTTCGTTTGCCTAAAATGGAAAATTAAACACATTTAAACAAAATAATCTTATACCAAAAACTGAAAAAAGATTACCTTGCACTAAATAGTTCAACTTTGCATCATTCAGAGCTATCGAGACGTTCTCATGAGTATTTGTGAGTAAATTAAGAACATACACCTGCAAAACTGTTTATATAAGTGATTAAATATTCAGGGAAATGGAAAACATGCACGGTTTAAATGAGCAAAAAAATGGCAGAGTTTTTATCCAAATAGCCAAAAATTTCGCAAATTACACCAGGCGCTTCCACAACTTTTCTGCATTTTTATAAATCCGTCTTTTAGCTGAATATTTTTTAAGAGAAAAAATAAGTGAAACCTTTCCTCCCTCGCTTTCTTTCGAGTTGGCAGAAGAAACCGTAAGATGTGGAGCTAAAAAGTCATAAAATTCAGAGGGCAGAAATCATAGGATATGCGAATCAAAAATCACAGGCTTGTTGAATTAGCATCCCATCTACATATCATAAATATTCAGCGAAAAAGAAACTTACAGCGCGGAAAAGCAGACAGTAAAACAGTTTTCAGCTTCTCCAAATTCATTGTGTAAACTTTTACAAGTTGCTTGCAGTGTTCTGAAAAAATCTGATCGAACAGTTCCTGACAGCAATATATTTCCACGATTTTTCTATATTTTACAATAAACGAAAAAAGTTTTGAGACAAAGGCAGAAGTGTAAATAAAGGTAAGCACTGCAATGCAATCTAGGAGGGAAGATTCGTGACGAAATGGTGGTGCACAATATAAATGGAGGACATCCTGAAGCGACTAGAACCTAGCCGGGTGCTTCCATCAGGAAAAACGCTAAGCTGGTGATACTTCAGCAGATGAGACGGACACCAGATCCCCAGTAAAGTGACCAACAGGCGATGTAACACTGGACAAAACAAGTAGAAAAGTTGCTAGCTGCATAGTTGCTGAAGCAGATACCAAATTATAAGTATTATGAGTAAAGTAAAGGTAAAATGAATGATAAATAAATTCTGTGTTAAATAAAAATGTGTTGCAAGAAAATATGTACCTGCAGGAAGGCCTAACTGTTGCATTTCTAACTCGAGATCATGCGCTGAGCAGGAGCTTTTTGTCGTCTTTTCCAGGATAAATACCAACGCAGCAAGCATTGCTTTCAGCGATTCGTCATCTACAAACACTTACGTGTAATCGAAACACAGTTCACCCTAGCATCAGAGTAGTCCGGCAGCAAAATCAAAAGACAAAAAAAGAAAATTCAAAAGACAAATCATATTCCCTTTTCAAATTTAACAAATGCAGAAAAAAAATGGCACAGGAATGACTGATTTGTCGTAATGATTTACCCGGTTCCCAACAAAGCGGAAGTGTACAAAAATTTTATTTTCCTTCGTTTCCCTATTTTCTGACCCAGAACAAAATGAGAATTTTTTTGGGAGCATGAGGAGAGGCAAAGGAGGAAGCGAAGACTACAGTAGATTTTTGCATATTTGACGCTATTTACTTGTACTTTTATAAAAATTTTAGCGTCTTTTAGTAAAATTTTAAGTCATTTTTTTTGATTTTATTAAAATTATGAATCTTTTTTCTCTCCTTTCCCTCTCCCTTCCCTTCCAATCCAATTTCCTGTCCTCTCACTCAAACATCAAAAAGTATCCCAGGATCCCACGCAATTGATGCGAGGCTCCCATGTTAATGGCGCTATTGAGATGTTTCCAAACGTCGCAGGCAGCCAGACCAAATTCTTTGATTCTGCGCTGTATGCCGCCAATCAGTAGCGATCGTCTGTTATATACATAAGTCATCAACAATCCTAAAATACAACTAACCAAATGTTTTGTCGACGCTGAGTACAGCAAGCTGTGCATCATCCCATTCATTGTTCCCGCTGATCAAATGTTCCACACAGCTTGAGCACCAATTCTTGAATTTCAGCACAGGCTAAAATGGTTAATACATATAGAATTTAAATCCTAGCAATGTAACTAAAAAATTTCAAATTTTTCAAAAATTATTCTCAAAAATCCCTTCACTTCAATGAAGTTAAGAAAAAATGCGAACCAGTTTGGACAATGAAGCCACTTGAGCGAGGATCCAGTCCGGACAATCCAGGCCGCCAACAAAATGGAATTTCTGCAATGAGAACACTTACTATAATATAAAGCTGTAGAGGCAAAACAACTTATAATTATTTTACGATTCGTTTCGATGATAAGCTGACGCAAGCCAAGGAGCCAAACCACCAGAAAGTTATTTCTAAGTTACTCTCGGAAGAATGAACCATAAAAGAAACTTCACCAATGTGTGGCTGCCAATAATGAAGCGAATCTTCATCTTTTGTAGACAATGTAATACTAAGGAGCACAGGAACTGGGCTAAACTTTATATAACAGCTTCAGCACAGGTCGCCAATTCTTGTGCTCTTAGCTAGCAGTCTAAACAGTATCCAATTTTATACATGCAACCCTCATGAGCCCGAGCTGCTGAGATATCTCATCATGACTTAGACAGGTGCACAATAAAACACATCCAGGACATCCAGAAAAGGCAAAAAGCTTGTCAAGTGCTTCGGTGGGAAGAAATGCTATATTGAAATGGAAAATATTGAACTTTATAAAGAAATATTGAATTTTACAAAAATGAGCACTAATATTAATGTATTAGTAAATGTTGTTAGCAGTAAAAAATTACTGGGCCAGTTAAAATAATAACAATAGCGGTCGAAACAAAAAATTAATAAATATTAAGAATTAATTTAATTAGTAAATATTAAGAATTAGTTAACAAATTTTGAGAATCAATTAATTTTCGGAACAAAAATTAATAAATATTAAGAATTAATTAATTTTTGTTTCGATCGCTATTGATATTATATTATTTTAACTGGCCTAGTAATTCTTTGCTGCTAACAACACTTACTAATACATTAATTTTTACTGCTCATTTTTGCAAAATTCAATTTTTTAAATATTAAGAATTAATTTTATTGCCCCTGACAAGGAATGTTTCAGGATCTTGAGGGGTCCTAAAAAGTCTATTACTTGCCAAGCAGATGACCAATGGCGATTTAAAAAAAAAAAAAAAAAAAATGAAATAATAAGAAATCCAGCCATAATTGAAAAGCAAACCATATCAACTGTCAAAGAAAGTAGCGATAGCCGGCTCAGTAGAAAATCATCATATGCCACACAGCGATAAAGTGGATTTAGTACCACAGGCCAGAAGCAAGCCCAGCGCCAATGGTCATAAACAATGGCCTGTGCCAGGCCATTTATTTGCCTGAAAAGGAAAAATATTTAAAGTAAGGGAAAGTAGGCGATTTATCATTGCTTTTATCAACAAACATTTAAGACGGCTGCTCTCTCACCGATCTGCCTCCCTTCGAAGAAATTGACAAACACCTACACTGGTAAGACGCGCTTCTCATCACTACTGCAATGAGTTACGGCACCACACCCGCGAAACAACGAGGCGTCGGCTTTTCACGTACGTCAAAAGTGGCACGTGAAAAGATTAGTACAGGACGTGGATGCCTCCTGTATTTCAGCAACGTGGCTGGCCCTGTTTGTCCAAGAAATTAATCTTGTACAAAGCATAATAGAATATAAGCGACGTTTAAATGGAAAAACGAATGAGGAGTGAGGAAAAAAAAATATACATCGTGCAACAGAAAACCCCCATACAACAATGCGAAAATTCGAAAAACGAATTTTTATTCAGTTTAGATTTAATGAACCGAAACATCCCTATTGATCTGATTTTTCCGCAACACAGAAAATCATTTCGAAACGAGGCGAAAATTCAGAAGCTAAAAACAGAAGTTTTATTCACTTTAGATTTTAGTGGACCGAAACATTCCTGTTCAGATTTCTTAATATAATTTCATATTTCCATACATGTATTATAGTTAATAGATATCCTCTGTTATTAAAACAATCAGATTTTCTGTCAGATGAGCGACGTGCAGGATATCATTGTGACCATGCAAGAAAGTAAAATCCGATGGGCAGGACATGTTGCTCGCCCAGCGGATAACTGGTAGATATCGCGTATTAGTGACTAATACCTAAGGAAAAGTAAACAACCGTTTAGGCGACCTCCAAGGAGATGGCACACATACAGCGAACAGGTGATGGGTACTAACTGGAAGTACGCAGTCTAGGATCGAATGAATGAATGGTCGTAAGACCACGAAAAGAGGAAATGAAATAGATTGTGAAACGCATATGTTTATTATAAAAAGTTAAGAAGATGTA